TTCTTGTGTTTAGTATAATCATTTATATACAATCAAATACGAATAAATAAGATATATGCAATAAATTTTTAATTTATTTGCAAGTATATATTCTCAATTTTTATCATAAAGTAATCATCTACAAAGGATCTAAAACCTCCAATTAAGCTCTGTATATGATCCTTGAAAGTTTCATGAAACATCTGTAATTCATTCAACCGTCATAAGACGTCTAATGAAGATTTGGTAGAGCTCTATTAGAGCTCCATCATGGAGATAGTATAGATCTCTATTAGAGATTTATCTGACTTTCACCATGAAGATAAATATTGCATGGAGACTGTGGAGGTTGTGTGGACCTCTAATGGATGTCATGTTCCGTGTGGGTCCACCCACCGAACTGAAGGTTCGCTGAACGGCTAATGAACGTTCACGGTAGAATTCTAGAGAACCATCCACCGTGAAGATTCGCTGGACGGCTTATGGATTCCACGATGGAATCCTAGAGCATCGTCCATCATGGGAGTTCGCTGGATGGCTAATGGACGTCTACGGTAGAATCCTAAAACATCATCCATCGTGGAGGTTCGCTGAACGGCTTGACCACGATGGAATCCTAGAGTACAGTCCACTGTGGAGGTTCCCTGGATCTCTAATGAATATCTATATGACTTCCATCGGGAACATCCCAGATGCGCATATTCAATGACACATCACTCAGCTGATGCCTAGGAATTTTCTAGTGAGCCACCTATCAAAAATTTTTTATTTAATCGACCAATCGGCAATGTGTCCGATTGGACCTTACCTTCCATCATGGAGATAGACATTCGATGGAAATTTAATGAAGTCATGGAGATTCGATGGACGTCCACTCGAGGTTATGTGGATAGGAGAAGCTCAACTACATAAACAAGTAATATGCTAATATATAATACAACATACAATATGTAAGATAATTTCTGTGATATTATTGTGATGCATATATTGTGATAAGTATACGAAGCATGGTATCTCTATTCATAAGTACAGATAAATATTGGTACAAATATATTGTATTTGTGCAGTTTATTTGGTAATAAATATGTCATTTTATATATAGTGTTTATTTTTGTCTGTCTTTATTAATTTTTTATATCTATTTAATCATCTAATTACCATTTAATATTTATTTCAAATTTCGATATTAAAAAGATTACATGGGGAGCATCCCGTTTGACTACGTTGCGATTGACCACAGTGGCCAGTGCCTAAAGGTTTTCCTCTGTTCAAACGCTATGAGTGGCTAGTGATCAATTGAAACGTGGTCAAACGAGTCCCACCCGATTATATGTATATATGAGATGAAACCTGTGAACTCTATAATTTACTTTAATTTGCACTCCACCATCAAATAGCAGTGTTTCATCTTTTGTTGTCCATCTTATAGAAAGCTTTCATTTCTCTTAGTATATGTTCTGTGTGATTTCGGCTTAAACACTTCTCAAATCTCTACTCGGAGATTCGGCCAGTGTCAGGTAGTAGATGAGGCTAGCAAACTTAGTCCTCTCTCATTTGCTCTTTATTCTCAGCTAATACATGGTGAAAGGAATACATGGTGTGTGCAGTTTGGCCAAACCATGCTACTTTTGCTCTGAGCCGTCTATAATAGGAAAATACTACCAACTGTGAAAAGTAAAAGTAGTTTAGCATTATGAAATTTGTATGCTGGATCTACTGTCCTTGTTTCACGCACTTTTTCGAGCGGTTTCTTTTTCTATCTGTTTCCTTGTGTACACACTACTCCGTTTTGCACGTGTTACTTTCGTTCGCGAGACATTCGGAAAATTTGTTGTAAGACTGATGGCAGAGAATGAGACATAAGCGTTTATGTTTATCATAAACGTGACGTAGGTTAAAACGAGAAAAACGTCATAAAAACTTAATGACCTTAACCTGATTTTGACAGGTAACAGTTACATTTCCATGTATTCCCCTTCAAGTCATGCAACTTTTATTCGAAAATTTTTCAATAAATCATCGATTTCGCGAGATAATTGACCATAAATGAACACCCTTTTATATATATATATATATATATATATATTATACTGTATAGTACTAGTACGTAACGGACACCGAGTAGGAGTAGGCATATATATGGATATTATATTATATATATATATATATATATATATTATATAATATATATATATAATAATATATATATATATATAATATATAATATATACTTATATCTAAAAATTTTATATGTATGTTTCAAAAATGTCTAATAAATAATAAATAATAGTAATAGAATAATAGTAAACAGGATGAAGGAATGCAAAATAGGGTGGCAGATCTAAACTTGCACATTTCGAAAAAACTTGTAAATTATAAGTTGTAGGAAAAAAGTATTATATATAAAAGTTGTATAATTTTGAGAGAGTCATTATATAATGTATACATTTTTTTACAAGTGGCTGCATTTAAAAAATTTGAATTCGACATCGTTTTCTTAAATAAAATTATATATTTTTTATTATATAATATGATTGCTCTAGTTATTTTGAATATAAAAGTATTAAAATACAAATGTCAAAAAATCACTAGTTTAAGAGATATTTTATACTTTAGTCTCACATATTTTTACATATTTTTTTATAATTGTATCTTAATACTTTTATTATGCATTCAATAAAGAGACAAATTGATTGATGTAAAGAAAGCTAAAAGAAATATGTACTTACATTTTGCTTATAGCGTAATTCTTTTTTAAAGCAATTGTGTATCTTCCTAACCAATTGGTTTGTCTCATTATTTTATGCATAAAAGTATTAAGGTACAGTTATAAAGAAAATGAATAGTTTGTGAAATGTTTTATTGTATATCAGAATATATGAAATTAAAATATAAAATATCTCATAAACTATTGATTTTTCGATATTTGTATTTTAATATTTTTATATCCAGAATAACAAGAGACATCATATTACATATAAGAATAAAATATATTTTCATCTAAAAAATGAAATTAATTCTGAAATTCTTAATTCTGAAATTCTTAATTTTTTTTAAATGTCTTTATTTATAAAAAAATTTGTACTCTATGCAATGACCCCCTCGAAATCATACAACTTTTATATATAACAATTTTTTATATAATTTACAAGTTCTTAGAAGTCTGCAAGTTAGCTGCCTCATCCTGTACAAGACACGGGCATGTTTATTCTAATATGTTTATATACATCTTATTCGATAATTTCATAATGCGACATACTATGTGTACAATTGCTGAGAGATGTCAGATAATAACTATTACTATCTTTGTTCCTCTATCTTACATTTTGTCTTTTTTTCT